CACTTGGTAGCCCAGGCTGGCCTCGAACTCAGAGATCCGCCTGCCTCTGCCTCCCGAGTGCTGGGATTAAAGGCGTGCGCCACCACCGCCCGGCTTACACCTGTCAGTTTTTATCTGAACAAATAAAGTGGAGTCTCCTGTGGCTAACTGAGGGGGATGACAGAAGAAGGTAAATAGTACATTTGACTAAATAAATCATAAGAGCTAGAACCCTAGTATCCAGAGGGTCATATTCCCGTCTGTATTTACTTATTTATTGCCATATTAACTATGCAGAAATATTTTAAAACAGAAATTATTAATCACTTTCTTGTTGTTAACAGAAATACAGTGACAGGGCAAAGGCTCAACCACTTTGTCAATCATAAATATTAGCTATTATTTTTATAATTAAAAACTGGTTTCTAAATTTTATAACTTTTGAGTGAATGAATGAAACTGGCCCCTCTTTTAGAAACCCAGCCTTCCAAGCAATGAAGTAAGGATATGGTTTTCAAAATGAAATTATAATTACAAACAGTGCACAGTGAGATCTTTGGTTTTCTAGAAAATGGTTCAGTCCTTTCAAGAGTTCCCCTTGTACCCTGGCCCCACTAGCGGAAGGGCCGACTACTAAAGGCCTGACTGTGGCAGGAGCACGCTCTTATGAAAGGAGCGGAACCAGGAGTAGTCAGAGCAGGTGGTGAGTCCAGCTCTGCCAATGAGCATGACAGGCCTGTGGCTGTCCATCCTGAAGTGTCACCAAAAGGCTTGGCCCCTGATGCTGGTCCTACTGAGAGGTGACTGGATCATGAGGGTGCTAACTCCATCAAGGAATGAATCCACTGGTGACTCAATACCTTGGGGGTCACTGGACGGTGGGGCCTGGGGAGGAAAGCAGGCCAACAGCAATGGACCCAAACCACCCACAGATGGAGATCAAACCAAGCAAACCTTTCCTTCCTGTCACTCGGGTGTCTGACCCAGCAACAAAACCTCACTAACACAACTGCTTCAGAAGTCAATCAAGCTTTGGGCTCGGCGGGTCAAGCCCATAACCCCAGCTATTCGGGGGATGGAGGCAGGACTGACCGTTCAAGGACTGCCGGGGTCACTGACTCAAGGTCATCCTGGGCAACTTAACAAGACCTATTTAAAGCAAGAGAGGCTGAGGATACAGCTCGGTGACAGAGGCCTTGCCTAGCACATATAAGGTCAACCAAACGATGCTTATTAACCACTTAAGGGTTGCTCCGGCCCCCGGCAGACCTTCAACCCATGGTAGGTAGTGCTCGAGTTTACACCAAGGTATCTACAGACAGCCCCAGTAACGAAGAGAGGGCAACTCATGGAAACGTCTGGGGACCTGCCTATTGCACAACTGCTTTTCTTCAGCAGTGGAGGGCAAGAGAAAAGGGCAGAGGCTGTTTCAGAAGAGCCGGAGGAATGGAGAGGGCGCGTTACAAAGCATCAATCTATTACTTTCCATTGCAGTCATAGAGACCTCCAGGAGAGTCAGTTTGGGACACCCTGTGACAAACGCTGCTGCTGGCGTCCCGATGGACAGACAGAGGCGCAGCAGGTCCACCCCGGCCGCGGGCGTACCAAGCTATCCTCTGCAAAGTCGTTCCATTTGTGCCGCTTGATGCTCTCCTCCTTCACGGCCTCCTTGAGTTTGTCAAATATGTCGTCATGCTCCTTTCCTTTGGGTTCCGTCATGAAGCGGGAAAATTCCTCTTGGAGCGTCTCCCAAGCCACCTGGGTATAAAAGAAAAAAGCTGTATTTAGACTGCTTACCCTTAATTAATATGCAACATGAAAAAATAACACGAACCCAAACAGATGTGCTAGAGCAGCCGATCAGGAAATGCAAGTTCATGACTAGGTGCAAGCGCACACAGGGCACACAGCTGGGGGTTGTGTCGTAGGCCTTTAACCCGATCACTCAGGATGGGGAGGAGGTAGATGGATCTGTGAGCTCAGGGCCAGCCTGGTGTACACAGTGAGTTCCAGGACAGCCAGGGTGACATACAGAGGTCCAGTTATAAAAAGAAAGCTGCCAATTTTAAAGACTGAGACTTGTCCATCTGCACCTCCAGTGCTTGAGAACAACCTGGAAACAATCAACTCACACCCCCACAGGGCGCACTCGCTGAGCTGAGCAGGGTTGGCTCCTTTAGGCCAGGCCTACACCCTAAGTCTGCCAACCTGACTTATTTCAACACGTCTGAGTCTGCGTGCTGCCGCCACACCACACTAAGTCTCAGTGCTTCCTCACTGAGCCAATCAATCGTCTTCACAGCTCTGCCTGTAAGCAAGCATTCATATTAAAAGCTCCAAGTACTATGAAGTATTACTCAGCTAACTTTTATTCCATGTCAACTGTGAAAGGAAGAGCACAGGACAGAAGTGATTTCAGTGCACATAGATGGTGGGGTGAGGAGGTTTTCGTTTTGTCCTGTGGTGAACTGGAAGGCAATCCCCTGCTTTAGTTAGCCTCCCTAGAGCTAGGATTGCAGGCATGCACCCCCATTCCTGCACGGGATGGGAATGAACCCACTCGCTGCCTACCCTCAGCTCCACTCCTTCCCCCAACAGGAAGCCCAGGGCAGAAAGCAGGACAGAATTCCTGGTGTCACAAAGACTGGTTCACTGCGGGAAGCTTTGACTATGCAAATGTCTCAGGCCAGGACACACCCAGTCAGGGTGAGAAGTGACAGACGGGCACAGCTCTCCAGCTCTTTCCCTGTAAGTGGTCCATCAGTGTCAACACAGGCAGAGGCTGCAGGGCTGAGGGACATGGGCCTAGGCTGTGAGGACTGTGGTGCAGAGGCCAGGCTGGGGCCGGACACAAGGAGCTGATGCCTCTTCCAAGGCAGGTATGCAGAATAGAATCACAGTACCGACCACATGCTGTTGAGCATCTCTCAGAGTCCAGGACACACTGGCTCTAGCTGGAGAGCAGGACAAGTGTGGCCAACGCTGATAATCCTGAGCGGCTCTTACGGATGGGCCAGGTGTTACCTAAGTACGTAACAGTAACTCCCCTAATCCTGATGGCAACCCTGGCAGGTGGGTAACACTGTCAACCCAGCTTCTCAGAGGAAGCTACAGGAAGGTTGAGCAAGTAGGCGGCTATCAGTTGTCACAGGGTCGGGGCAAGATGCCTCAGGACAGAAATGGATTCTTCAAACTGCCTTAATTTTGTAAATAATTCCTAGTCAAAACTAGAGGACCCTAACTCAATGCATATGCAAGTGTTATAGGGTCCTGGAGAAAATGTACAAATGGTAATGTTTAGTCCATTTGAAGATACTCCTTACAGAAGCTCAATTCATAGAAGTTCAAAATATGTCTGTCACCGTCAAGCCAGTTTTGCCGGTCTTAGTAAATGTTATCTTTGGAAGGCAAACAGCATCCCGATTAGTAAACTTTTATGTTAGCAGCACCTGAGAACATATCAAGGTTAGTCCAACAGAGGCAGGCGCAGAGCATACAGGAAGTGTTAGGCTGAGAAAGATAGTGACTGCCAGGGAAATAAGGCCCCAATCCACAGCACCGATTCCCTCCACACAATGCTTCTTACCCATTTAATTAAATCATATCCTAACCTCTACTGCTTTATTAGGGAGCTGCTTGTCAGTCCACTGTTTCAGCTTGATGTCCACTGTGGTGTTAAATGTTCCTGAATTCATGGTCTGTGCGGCCGGAAGGTAGATGTTCTCAATCACGTGAGTTGACACTCTTTCCCACAGAGTCTGCTGAAGGATTTCCTCCCTAAAATTGAAGTTTCAAGAAACAGGTTAAAAATAGCTTGATTTAAGTATCACTAACTATGGTAATAAACTACACCTATTTGAAGGGCTGACAAATTTGGGATATGTATACATCTGTGAATCACAGGAATCAAGATAAATGCCTCTCGTCAGATCTATAACCACTCTATTTGCTGCGATTACAATTACTTGTAGTTTCTAGAACTTTCCACACATGTAATCATGTGGCATGTACTCTTCCACCTACCTTCTTTCACTCAACAAACGTAGTCTGAAATCCGTGGGGTGTTGCTGTTTTACTTCCTTTATTGCTAAGCACCACCAATTGTGTATAATCTACCCGTGGATGGCTATTGATGGTCGTGCACGCTTTCTAGTTGTTGGCTGTTACAACCAAGGCTGCCGTGGCCATTCTGTCACAAATCTTTAGAAGCATGCATGCTTTTCCTCTTCGTGGGGACATGTCTACGAGTGGAGTGGGTGAACGTATAGCAGCTTGTGAAGACGCCATTCTTTTCTAAACTACCCAGTGGTTTACATTCCTACTAGCAGAGAAGGAGGGTCCAAGAAACTCTACCCTCACTGAGGCGCTGTCTCAGCTCGGCCAGTCCAGTGGGTTTCCAGTACCTTCTCACTGTGGCTGCAGGTCTCTAATAGTCATCTGTATCATTGTGTATTTTCATGTGCTCATTAATAACTTGGCCCTAACATACACTGTACGTATTTACTGGAGTCCAAGGCGAAAACTTTTTGAATAACTTTTACAATTTAGCAAACCATATCACAAAGCATAGAGATATAGGATATCACCATATATGATGCTTCAGGACTTCATGGCTAAGACAATAACATAAAGGATGCAAACTTAAGCTGAAAATTCTGCCTTTAAGTATTCTTTAAGAATAAGATCTCTAAATAAGAAAAGACAACCATTTCCACTATGAAAGTACTTAAAATCTCAAGAAAGTATTTATTTGGCTTCCACTGAAATAAATTCTACTGTTACAGAATACAAGGTAAAACCAGAATAAAATCCAACAAGAAGAAAACCCAAACTACCCTGTTATGATTTGGTCCATCTGGAATGTAACCACAACCCAGTGAGAGCAGAGACACTCCTGCTGACAAGGCGAAGGGGACTCTCCTAGTCCTCTGAACCACTGGCCTGACTGCTGGGGTCACCTTGTCAATGTCCAGCTGGCTGTTCAGTTACCACAAAACGGAAGATTATGAGAAGACATATTACTTAACGATGAGGTAGCATGGCTACATGGGGAAAAAAAAGCATTCTTCTTTATCACTTATATATCCAGCCATGAATCTGTCAATTCTACTTCCTGTGTCACCTTTCAAATACCTCAAGACTTTCCCACCTGCACTACTACATGTTCAAGTCACCTGACCTCTTAAGTGCTTCCTGGCTTAGAGCTTTCCTGCCTCGAACAGCCTTAAAGAACAGCTCCTGTGTCATCTCTGACCTTCACCTCTCTATGCGGAAGCCATGGACACAAACATCAAGTTTTCTTTCTTCCTCTCACCTCCTGGCTCTGCAACTCCTTTGCTCTCATCTTTGCTAACACCAATCCACTCTTTAAATTCCACATCATGTTACCACAAACCTCAGATTCCTCACCTCTGGGTTAGGGAATCAACTATATGTTTTCCCCATTTTTGTGTTAGTCTGTTGAACTAACCAAAGTAAACATAATACTTTCATCAAAAATTGCACAATACCACAATAGTGGATTTTATAAAGTGTATTTCTATAAAGTCACTCAATTACTGTGCTAGAAAAGACGGTTACATGCTAATAACATACCAGCATCTCATTTAATGAGGTAGCTGTATCTTTAAGATCACATCCATTGCTGGACAAATGCAGTGTGTATATATTTACTATTCTAACACATTATATGTCAATTTGAATTCTCCAGGATTCCTTTCTTAAAATATGACTAAAGCACGCAGAATGTCTGTAAGTAAATAACAAATTATCCTCTTAGGACATATAGTACTTACTACGCAGTCCTGGGACTTCAATAATTCAGAGCTAAGGCCTCCATCTTAAAGTGCCCATGTAACCTCTAAGGTAAACCTAACTATGCTCCAGAAATTCTTTGGTGCAATGCAGTTAAATCCATTGCAGCATCAACAGTTAAGGCTGGGATTGGCTACCCTGATCTTTGTGCCAAATGCTAGAGTCTAAAGCACAAGCTGATCAAGAAAACTCACTAGAGGTCATCTGATCAGGCAGCTAAGAATTCTCAGCCACCCACCAAATGTTCTAGTTCTCAGCTGTGTCTTCTCCACTGGAATCTCATTTCTTGTCTTTTCACAACTCTATTAAGTGCCTTGTGTAGTAAACAAAACAGATTTACCTTTTAGGCTTATTTCAGTGTGGCTATATATAAAATTTTAGCATTTTAGCATTGCTCTACATAAAGGCAACTAGTATTATATTAATTAGTTATACTTCGGTGCATTTACATTTTACTTATGTACATATCTACATATCTGTATCTCTCTTGTAATTTTCTTTTAAAGATTTATTTACTTACTTACTATGTATACAGTGTTCTGCCTGCATGTATTCCTGCAGGCCAGAAGAGGGCACCAGATCTCACTATAGATGGTTGTGAGACACCATGTATGTGGTTGCTGGGAATTGAACTCAGGACTTCAGGAAGAACAGCCAGTGCTCTTAACCTCTGAGTTCATCGCTAGCCATCTCTCCAGCCCCTCTCTCTTGTAATTTTATGAGCTAACTGAATTGTACAAAGTCACTGAACTGGTTTAAAATATAAATAAGAAACAAAACAGTTTGTGTCATATATATTTGACTAACCAGTCAACAGTAAAAATAAGACCAGATATCTTCTTCTTAACAAGGAGAGTAAGGAATCTGGCAAATATCGATGACTTAAGAAAGAGGAAGGCAGGGCCCCGAGATGGGGAAACCAGTGAGAACAAATTCAAACTTAGGCTGCTGTCGACTCCATGTGCTACTAATCAGTGACTGGGCAAACAGAGGTACTAAAACTATGTATCATGAATGGTGGTAAGGATCGTTTTGCGCCAAGAGTGAGAGGTTCTTAAGTACCACAGGTTTATTAGAAGATAAATTAGGCATGAGGAATTTGTTAATTAAAATGTAACTACAAACTTCCAGGCTCTTCACATGCAGCCCACTCGAGCTGCATGCAGCCTGTCCTGCTGTGGTTATGAGGTCTCCTATGCAGTACAGGCTGCCTTGGAATTTGTGTTCTCCTGCTTCCTCCTCCTGCATGCTGGGATTACAAGCATCTGCCACCATCCCTGCTTTAGTCTGTCTGTTTATGATGCCCTGTTTCAATCAATTTAAGAATGCCTACAATTACATAAACATAAATTGAAGATGACAGCTTGCCCTAGGATTCATATGCAATTTTCAAAAGGATGAATTTGTTTAAAAAAAAAAGTAGGAAGCAATGAAAACCTAACACATAGTGGGTCTGGAGAGATGGCTAGTGATGTAAGCGCTGGCGGCTACAGCAGAGGAAACGAGTTCTATTCCCAGCACCCACAAGGCAGCACACGGCCGCCTGCAACTCCAGTTCCAGGGGACCCAGCGTCCTCTGCTGCCTCTGTGGGCAACAGGTATGCGTGTGCTACACAGACACATGCAGGCAAAACACGCCCCCCCACACAAATTAAAAAAATGTTACTGTACACAGCACACTACATACATGTCACAGAAATCACCAGTTACTTCTGGTCCTGAATGACATCTAAAGAGCACACACCCTTGTTCCTTTACAGATCAATGTTCCCTATGCTATTCTCCGGTTAGGTTACTTTGTGGCAATTTTATGAAATTATATGTAAATGAGTCTATCGAAATAACAAAGTAGATTCAAAGGGAGCCTTGAGTAAGCAAGCCACTGTCCAGACGGTCAGCTGACAGACTACAATGCAGCTATTTCTACAGGAGACACAGTTTACTCTTTGCCTACTGCATCTCGAGAGATGAACCCAGGCAACAAAACTCACTGCTTTCTTCTGCTTTAGAGAGAAACGACACTGAGACAGGGATTCATACTCACCAGTGTTTTGGAGTAACCTGGCTCAGGCTGATAACTTCGTCAAGGATCTCGTTTTTAGCTTTTTCAAATAGTTCATTCTAGGCAACACAGAGACAAGTTAGGATTGTCACAAGCCACTGCATTTGTCCCGTCTGATCTTCAGAGATAACCAAAAGGAGGACATGAACAGGCTGTGTTGACTAAGTTTTGGTTTAAAGATGCGAGAGCAGCAAATGACCTTCTAGTCTCCTTTAGGAACACCACTACTCAGATAAGGAGCAAGAGGCAGTCGCCATGTCTACCCTTTCCAATTCTGACTGCAGTTTTTTAAAATAGCATTTCCACATACTAATGCTAAAGAACCAACACACACAATTTAGTGATCAGTAATAGTAAGATAATGTTGGATCTTACAACTAATGCTATTTTAAAATTAAAGAAAAACATATTTAGTTCCCATTAGACTCTACATGTCCAATATAAATACCAACAAAGTAAAAAGCTAATGTATAATTAAAAACAAAAAACAGATTACTTAAGTATACATTAATAAGACTAGTAAAGAATATTTGTAATTTTTTCAGAAATCATTTTAACATGTTTTACATTCTGATTCCTAATTATTTTAAAATGTTATAATAGTTAAAATTACTGTAGTAAAGATAAATACCCTTAGGTAATTATCAAGAAGATCACAGCAATTTTGCTCAGCAGATAACAACTCTGCAAGCACACAGTGAATTAAAGCAAACACCAGACCGTGGGGCACTCAGATATTATTACCCTGTCCAGCTCTCGCAGGCGAGGGTAGTTATTCTTCCACTCCGTCTCCAGGTTAAACCGTGTGGCTGTGGAGAAAGGAAGATGCCCAGTCTGACTGTGAAGAAGGTACCTCTCGGCTTGTGCATTAGCTGAGTTTCTGAGCACGTCCTGGTGCCCTGCCGTTCTGATGCTATTACTGTCAGAGTTGTCTCAACTATTCTTCTCACTTCTCGTTTCTCCATGCTCAGCTCACAAAGCCACAGATGGACCCTGGCGCTGTAATTCAGATCCTGGTCTAACGCTATGTGGCACTGGTTATGTAAATTACCCTGCACCTCTGTTTTCTCATCTGTGAAATGGAAATAAAGACAACACGAAACTGCTGTAGGACTAAGTGGGATAAACAACAGCAAGTGAACTTTCCAAATGGCAAGAGGGGAGGAGAACGTGCTCTCAGTGGATGCAGCTATGTGGGCTTGGGGAAACAGTACAAGGCAGGCCTCCCGGTTTCCCTTCTTCCTGTAAGGGAGGGTCCTAGTTCTCCACAGGCTATCAAGCTATCTCTAAACACTGCTGCAAACCCGCTGCTTCTGAGAACTCTGTAATGGGGCCTCTGAAGGGGAAAATCGGATCTTGTAAAATAGAAGGTTTGGTTTCTCTTTTTTCCACATGCTGACCAATAGTAAATCACATGCCTGGATTTGTGGGTCTGCTTCAAGCAAGCCAGCTTACCTTTGAAGCTATCAGCCTGTTGTTCAACTGACTCGCGAACCATTTTCCAAAAGCAGTCGGACACAGCAAGGCTTAGATTTCTCGTGGTGACCTGGTGTGCCTTTAGCATACTTGTCCTACAGGAGACCAGAGCTAGCGTGTCAGAATGGCAAAGGAGCGCTTACTGCACACTACGCTGCCCAGGAACTTTCTGCAGTGAGGAAATGGGGCACCTGACCTGTCCAGCAGGCAGGCACCCGCCACATGTGTTACTGAGCTCTCGAAGCATGGCTAGTGTGGCTGTTGTCCTACCAAACACTGGCCAGTCTGGCGTGTGCACATGACCAGTGAGCACCACAGTGGGCAGCACAGTTCTACAGGCTCCTCGCTTCCTTTCCTAAAGGGAATCCTTGGCTATGGCTGCAGGACTGTCCTTCCTTCCTTCTGTACCAATATGGAGCAAGCATGCTTGTCTATTTCCAGAAACTATGTAGAAACTTTCAGGGTGATTCTGAAATGGCTGTTTTAGTCCCTCTATTTTGATTTGTGGTTCAGTGTCTTATTTTCTGTCAATTTCTTCCAGGATCTACTCAGGAACATCCTGTTGTCACCTCCCACTCCAACTTTTTCTATTATAAGAGAAATGCGCACACATATTTAAAATAGGAAAAATTAATCAAAAAATCACTTTCTAGGGAAACGGATATAAGAGGTGTGAGGGCTGTCTCTCAGTCCACATCTGCAGAGGCAGTCTGTCCTGCCATCTGCTGCACCATGTGATAGACAGACTGCTTCTGTTCTATCCAAGAGTGCTCCAGGACAGCCTCATTGGGTTCAGATCACCACGTGGACGGAGAGCCCACAGAAGACTGTTCCCAGACATGGTCGGTGCAGCTGAAGCAGTTCAGTGTAAGCTACGCTCTCACTGTAGAGACTCGGAATACTGTTACACGACACCTACTTTAGGAGTTTTGAATTCTGAAAGAATTCTTCTTCATATTCCCTTATAGCTTCGATGCTTTCAGAGCTGTTTCCTAGGAAAGATGATGACCAAATTTTCATCAAGAAAATTAATTTTTATTATCTGAAAACAACAAAAGCTAAAATTAAGTTATAATGATCCATCTCTGCATACCTTTTCCTGTTACAACAGCAAAATAACCCAGAGCTTTCATTGGGAAGAGCTTGCCTTCAATTATCTGTTGTATCTGTTTTAACAAATTGGGAAAATAAATGTGAAATATAGACTTAGTTAGTTTTTAAAAGCACAACATGCAATTTAGAAAGCAAAATACTAAAAAAACTCTGTACATATATATACTTATCAGCATACATATATCTGTTCAAAAGCATATAAATGTGTTCTGATTGTTATCTGAGGGAAATAGACTTAACTTTATGTATTAAAAATGTCATATTAAAATGTGTATACCTAGATCAAAACTTGAAACGACTGATTCACAGTGCTTTGGAGTCAGACCTTGGCTGGAGTGCTTGTTCTACCATTTCCTAGCTATGTGACCATAAGTCAGTGAGATAATTTTAATACAAGGTTACTGAGGTTATGAGATAATAGCACTGAGCACCAAGCCTGGCAGAGAGAAGCACTCAAGAAATAGCTTCATTACTTTTTCCTTATAGTTGCTTTGCATATTTAAAAATTTAAATTGTTCTATTAAATTAAAAAATGACATTTGTTCATCTGTATATGTATGTTTGGACATGCATGTAGAGGTCAGAAGACAATTCATAGGAGTCAGCTCTCTCCTTCTACTCTGTGGGTTTCAGGGATCAAACTCAGATTTGGCCATAGCACCTTTACCTGCTGATACATTTTGTGGGCCCTGATTATCTAGATTCTCACTAAGCTGGATTATCTTTTACTAATTTCTCTTCTCTACTTGAAACAATATATTTTAGATTGGTTTTCAACTCTTTTAAGGACAAAAATCCTTTTCTAAGTGACATAAAAAACTATGGAGTCTGGGCACAGGAAAATGAATATTTACATAAATTTATCATTCATACACGATGTGAGAATTTCCCCTTCTGGACGCCCATTCCGATTACCACTGTGGTGAGACAAGGCAAAGCTAGACTAAAACCGAGTCTTTGCCATCGAAAGGCCTGAAGTAAGCTTCATCTGCATCTCCAGTGAAATCCAAAGTGACTGCCCCAGAGAAGGAGGAATGAAAGCATTGGGGAGAAAGGAGGCCACAGACACTGGCTCTACTTTGCTCCTTCTCTTCCCATGAGCACCAACACTGCCACAACAATACTGCCTTGCTCTTAAAATAAGGCAAGGAGGGCTGGAGAGGCGGCTTGGCCATTAAAGGTTAGGCTCACAAGCAAAAACATAAAACAAGGCAGAGGGGCAGAGGGGCAGAGGTTCAAGGACAAGTTGCCACAGCAGGCCCAAGAGGACCCTACAAAAGGTCTGCTGGCCTGTGTCTGGCATTCCTGGTATGTCCTGACCAGTTTTCTTCTGAGAATTTGGAATTTTGGTACCATCTCTCTGACCAGCCTGAGAGAAGGCTCCTGGAGACATGAACAGGCTGCCTCTAGACTGTATCCCACGCATCTTCTCCTTCATGGCTCTGTAATGTGTCTTTGTGGCAACTATGACTATGTGGTGACCCTATGGGTCCTTTGAAAGAATCACCGCACCTGAGGCTGCTATGTCTGGGGACCCTGACACAGAGGTTTAAGGTGGGAAAGAGAGGCATCCTCTGCAGTAGCACTGAGGATAAGGACCTGATGCCACTGTTCTACAGGGACTACCGAACATGAAATTATCATTTGTAAACAAGCCAGTCATAAGTTACACAACACTTGGTGCCCGAGAACCATTCTAAGCACTGCGTATTATTTGACTAGTAACTCATCACAACCTATGTGATCACATCATAAATGTCTTCATTCCCACTAGATGAGAAGCCAAAACACCAACACACACACACACACACACACACACACACACACACACACACACACACACACACACACACACAAACTTGACCTCACCCTGCTTGGACTGGCTACATTTTTTTCTGCCAGGTCTACTTTGGTCAAAACAAATATGGTTCTTCTTCCATGAGGATCCATTTGACTGACCAAGTCTGTAACAATACTGCGCTCAGCATCTACAGATCCATCTGAAAAAAGAAAATAACAGTGTAATAATTACAAAGCTGAGTGTGAAAATGTAGTCTTGATACATTTGCTTTAGGAATGTAGCCAATAAAAATCCCAATGATGTCAAAAGTGACATCCTCAATTCCATTTACTACTAAAATGACAGGCGCAGTGAGAACACACGTGCATGCGAGCTTACATGACAGATACTGCAGCAATACTTCAAGTTCGAAGAGGAGAGGCTGGGTGCAGTTGAGTATCTGGGGGACTTACCCTGAATACACAGGATGATGGCATTAGGGTTCTGCATGTAAGCCTTGCTGATACTGAAAATAGTCTCCTTTGTGTCAGGAGCCATGCCTGATGTCACAGTCTGGAAGAAAAAGGGGTTAAGTGTCATTATAAATGGCTTCCACAGCAGGAATAAAATGAAACACATCTTCTGTATGGACTTACATTGATCACACCAGGCAAGTCCACAAGCACCATCCTCTGCAGCCCAGGGCCTTTGACGTTTAAAGAGATGGTCTATTCAGGAAGGACAAAAAAAATCTCTTGGGGGTGAATTTCTTAAGAATATTTGTGGTGATAAATATTCTGAAAATTTTCAATCTTGTTCATTCAGATATTTTATTTATTTTTATTCAGAAAAGTTATTTTCTTTTGATCCCAAAGTAATTATTCTAGAAAATCCTCCCTTCAATGATACATTATTTAGAACATTAAAAAAAAAATCTGCAGTGTGGTGGCACACGCCTTTTATCCCAGCATTTGTGAGGCAGGTGGATCTTTGTAAGTTCAAGGCTAGCTTCATCTACATACTGAGTGCCAGCCTGGACTACATAGTGAGACTGTGTCTCGAAAAAAGGAAAAACAAAACAAGAAACTAAAAAAAAAAATAAAAATAAAAAAAAAATCTTGGAAAAGCTACAATCCAAACAGCATATCCATATTAATTATTAATATCCATAAGAACTTGCTATCTCCAAATCATGCTGAAAGGATTGCTGCCCTTACCTCAGGGCTAACAGTACAGCCTTCTTTCACATTTTTCCTCATCCGGAGTTCGATTTCATGTCTTAATGCCGCAAGCTGTCAATGGAAAAGAACGAAGTCCTGTGATAACCTGAATGACAAATAAGTCACTTCTTGGTCTTGGAGCACAGCCACAAATCTGATTTGAATGCTACTTACGTCTTCCTCCTTGGTAAGGTCAAACTCCCGAGAGCTATCTTTAAACAAGGCCACATGGTGAGGGCCTTCGCTGAGAGTCACCTGAAGGGACAGGAACATGTAAGACACCTTCACACTGACATTAATTCACAGCACCTGCCCAGTGCCGACAGGTCCATCACTGCACCTTTATGCTACAGTCAGGAGCAGTCAGCACGGCTGCTCGGCACTGTGCGGCACCTTGCTGACACTCTGCAAGGAGACTGGGAAGTTCTCCGTCTCTTATGACCTAGGGTGCTGCTGGCCCCTCTCCCCCAGGGGATGCTCTGCAGACACCAAGCAGAGAAACTGTCCCTCCACAGCCTGAAGAATTCAGAGATGAGTTCAGGGAGAGGACAGTTCATCTGGTCACCATTCCTCAATCCATTAACTATACAACAAGTGTTAGAGATGGGGAACAGCCTGACAGCCTCCGCTTAAGGTCTCACTCCACATAGACAGGAAGAGTGTGGTGGAAGGAAGACATGGTACTACAGACAGACTGACCCTGGCTGCCAGGGGTCACCGCAGGCTTCTTAGGAAAGGCATTCAAATGGAGTATTTAACAAAATGCAGTGACACTGAGTCATTTTACTAGAGCTTCTAAACTTGCTATTCCTTAATCTTTAGTGTACTCATTTCAGGGTATCATAATTATACTGTTAACATTGAAAATGTATTTGCTTCCCTGAGATAAGCTAGGCAGGTTACACAAGAAAACAAAACCAGCTGCTAAAAGCAGCTCTGGTGGCTGGGCCTAAGTACCCCAGATCCCAAAGGCCTTAGGGGATTGTCCTGCATCCCAGATCCCAAAGGCCTTAGGGGATTGTCCTGCAGCTATTTTCCTTGAGTACTTGCTCATTTGTGGTGCAGGACAAAGGCTAAGAGGAAAACTGAAACTCCACAGCAATTACATTGTCAAACAGACCAAAACAAACAAACAAACAAATGGAATTCGGGTTTTTAAGCAACTGTGACCTCAAGTGTCAAGATTAGCAAAAAATGAGCTGCAGAAATCAATCACCAAAAACCAACCCTCATCTTATGTGCAATGTCCCTTCAAGACATGGATATTTAGACCCACGCAGAAAGCTGGGGTAAAGAAGCTGAAATACTAAGTCCAGATTTGCCAGTTTCACTGATCTGAGGAGACACAAACAGGAGCACATCAAGACGTAGGAGTCGTGGTGAACAGACGGCCAATGGCCTTGTCTATTTGAAGGCAGCCTCCTCCCAGGGCCATTAATTTCCTCAAGTATTACCCAAAGCCTCTACAGTTGCAGGATATTTGATCACACTGTGAACCCCGAGATTGCGTTATTTACTGGAAAAACCTGTTTCTAGTTGTGTGGCTCAGCCCTAGCGCACACCTTTAGTCCAAGAGCTTTCTGCTTGACTAATGTGAACAGGATTAAATAAAGTCAGCCACAGGTCAAGAGGTGGAGCAAGCAACCAGTTGACTGGAAGTGAACAAGAAAAAAATAGAGAGGGTAAGAGGGAGTCAGGAGGATGGAGAGAGAGCCGCATAGGAGGTAGAAGGGAGGGACACTGAGTTGGAGGAGTCTTGTTTGAGCTGGCTAGGAGAAAGGTCTTTTTCTGGAATGTCAGCAGAGGAGGAAGGTGCTTTCTTTGCCTCGTTGAGCTAGCAGGCTTTCACCCCGGCATCTGGCTCCCGAGTCTTTATTGGTAAAATTGAATGATTGAGATTTTGATAAAAACAAGACTCTACAATTATGGTACCTGTAGCAAAGTAAAAGATGAACTCCCAATGTTTTTATACTGATTACTGGGCATGATATGAAGCACAGGTTCACTCTGGGCTTCACCTGTCTACACTGGAAGTACACTAGACTCCCATTGATGCATAATGGATGTAGAATGGATACACACAAAATACTCCCAATCAATGAAGGAAGAACCACTAACACACAGCATGGTCCAGCTCACAGGCAGACCCCACAGAATACTGTAACTCACACTATACTGCTCACTACTTCACCTTGGTGCAGTTCCACCCAGACAGCACCGTCTCCCTTTCTACCACAATTCTGATCGCACTTCTTGGTGATTTCAATTTTTCTCATTCTGAACTACTTTATCTCGACCTCTATCAGATGAATGTGAAAGAAAAACAATAACCAATCCCCTAGCCACACAGATTCACCTGAAATTTATGCCCACAGCCTTCCTGGTGACTTCATTTACCCAATTTTATCAGCAGAGTTACTTCAATATCCTAGGAAGAGATTGCTTTCCTCTGTTTTTGTTCTCCTGCCTCAGTCTCCGCCTCTCTCTTAACAGCTGATAACCTGGCGACTTATTTCACCAAGGACGCAGAAGCAAGCAGAAAGTCTCCACACCACCCAGCCACTTCACTTGGCCTCGCGGTAAACCAAATGCCTGGTGCTCAGCCTTGCTGAGCTGGTCCCTTGCTCCTCAGGTCCCGTCCTCTTGGACACTTCTTTTCCCGACTCGCAGTTGATACCACGGTTCTGGTTCTGGCTGACCAGCCTCTCGAGTTCCAAACTGCTTCCTTTTTCTTAATCTAGCAGGTCCTGCGTCTTAAGGTCCATTCACTCCTTTGAGATCTTAGCCAGCAGATATCTCATCTTGACTCCAAGATTTATGTCTCCAGTCCAGACCATTCCCTAAATCTGTACATCCAGCTACCTATTTATTATCTCCCTTTAGCAAGAAAGTCCAACTCTGGAACATCTTTCTCAAACTGGACCTACCTAGATGTTTCTATGCAAATAACACCCTTTAATCTGTTCAGGTCAAAACCCAATTCCTAGATGACTGGTCTCTTCTTATCAATCGGTCAACAAATCGTGTTGGTTGTACTTTAAAAATCGTTTCATGAGCCCACCAATTCTTTTCACCCTCATTAATACTTCCTGCATCCAAGTATCATCTAATCCAGCTGCCCTTCACCTGATCTCTGTGATTTGACCCACTTGCCAATACCTCTTTTCAACACAGCAGCCAGACTCTTTTAGAAGGTACTGGAACTCTGCTCGAGACTTCACTGGCTTCCCATTTTATTTAAAATAAAAATCACACTCTGCGCCGGGCGGTGGTGGCGCACGCCTTTAATCCCAGCACTCGGGAGGCAGAGCCAGGTGGATCGCTGTGAGTTCGAGGCCAGCCTGGGCTACCAAGTGAGCTCCAGGAAAGGCGCAAAACTACACAGAGAAACCCTGTCTCGAAAAACCAAAAAAAAAAAAAAAAAAAAAAAATCACACTCTGTAAACTGGTCTGGCAGGCCCTAATGATCTGCTTATCCCTGCCATTCATTATCTCTCTGTCACTGAGGACTTCACTGTGGCCCATTACACGGCCTCTTTATTATTCCTCAAACAGGATTAACCCCATCACTTTAGGAGCTGTGCACCAGCTAGTCTCTGCTTGGAACCTAACTGTAACAGACTGCAACATGACTACTTCCCTCACTCTCTGTAAATCTTGGTTCAAATGCCACCTTAGCTATACCACCTACAAGGATCCTGTCACCCCCACTGGCTCCATTTCTAACATACTAAATAGTGTAAATATTTATATATTTATTATGCTTATGGCAAGAATCTTCTTTAATTTACTGCACACTGTCTAATGCCAGGTATATCCCAACTGTGGCCTATGGGCTACATGTGCCCTAGAATAACTGTGACTGTGACCCAACACCAAATCATAAACTTACTTAAGACATTGATATACTTATTTATTTACTTACTTGGTAACATGGCTGCATGGTTCTCAAGTGTTTTGTATATAATACCACAATGTCAAAAGGTTGCAAATGCCTGGTATACCAATGCTGGCATATATTAAGAGCTGAATAAATATTTGCTTAATCAAACAGTCTACAGTCATTTACTATCTCCCTGTCTCCGTTGGTGAGATGTTAGTAGTTTTATATATGGGCAATGAGTGTGTACACACACACACACACACACACACACACACACACACACACACACACGCGCCTCCTTTACTTCAGTGACTTTGTTCTTGCAATGTTTTCTTTTATCTTTTTTTCTAGCTAAATACATCCTGATACCCAGCATATAAATACTCTGGGAAGTGATCTATGTCGTTGAGTCCAATTCCAACGTTCTCTTTCTCAGCCTCTGTGTCCCATCCCGAATGCCATCAAGAGGACTCAGGGTATCACCTGGACAACCACTGCCCCCATGTCCTTTCCCTCCGGCCCCTCTCCCTTCACTTATCCTCTCAGCTCTGCACATGTGCCCTGGCGGTGCCTCCCACTCACTGCCACAGGGGGAATGCTTCCAAATGCTGTGTCAGAAGCCCTCTTACTGAAGAGAAGTAAGGAAGCGAAAGAAGTCTTCATGTGAATGCTCAAGTGGTGCCTTCTCTAAGGTCCTTCAGGGAGATGGCCTCCTTCCCTACCTTCACTGGAGAACGGGTCATCATCTCCCCGGAGCCTCGTGGGAATATCCGCGCTTGAGCGATCATTTCCAGCACACTTGTTTTCCCAGCACTCTGATCTCCAACCACAACAACCTAATCACAAGACAAACAGCACTTACTAGTATTTTTCTGATGCCAAATTAAATGTAAGTAGAGTTTGAATGACATCATTTAAAAAAATCTTTTAAGACATTTATAGCCAAAAGAAGTGATTTTTTTTTTTTTTTAAGAATGAGGGTTGATGCATGTGGGCACTCTGAAGATACACATAGCAAAAGCATTAATTGGATCCATTATTTATAGTCAAATTTTTAGTTAAGAGTTATTTCTACAACTAGATCATTAACTTTCCACAAATATTTTCCATAGCCAGTTTACATTTTACTAACATACTTTAAATTTTATTAAATTTCACCCATGTGTTTAATTTTTTGCTCAGGTATTTTAAGATTATAAAAAATGTATAATGGCAAATATCTGACAGTTTTCTGTGAAAACACATATATTTACTTTTATGGTCCCCCAATAAGGAGCCAACAAAGCTTAGTGGTTAAGGTATCCCAGGAACGCAGGATTATGACAATATAAGGAGAGTGCTTTCCCGATGACGCAGGTCCCCGTCCATCCTCCCCTTACCCGTGGTAGATGGTCTTGTGTATTATAACTGGCATCATAATCGGAGAGAACATCAAGAACTTCAGAATACATATCAATCAAAGATTTCTGCAAAAAATTAAAATTAGTAAAAGTCTGAAAAAAAATCAAACAATAAAAGACTACAGTTATACTAAGAGAAAACGTGGATAAATTCAAATTTGCATTGCTTTTTCTAATTACAAAAATATATTTTCATAGTAAAACCAGTGTAAGAATAAAAATTCTACTTCTTCAGTTTAATTAAAATATACCTGACTTAATAAAAAGTTCATTCATTTAGGATTTCATAATCTAATTGGATGGTAAAAGGGAACGCTCATTAACATTAATAAGCTAACTGCCATAAAAGTCAAATAAGGGGCCAGGTGACCAAGTGACAGAGAAACTACTCTGTCAGACTCGGGTGTGAGAACAGCAGAGGAGAAGGTGGAAAGCAGGAGAGAGAGCACACGACAGAGTGAGGGGGGGCAGGAAGCACGCACGCGAGAGCCTGAGGACAGACAGGGATGGGGAAGAGCCCTAGGGATGGCAAAGGCTGTAATGGGAGTCAAGGGCAAACGCCTGCATTGCTGTTCTCTGGAGACCAGGACGGAGCATGGCGTCTCGAACACAACAGCGTCAAGTAAATTATCTATGGGAGAAGGAACAGTAACCATCAAGCATTTACTAAGGTAAGTTTTAATACCGAGGTGGGAACTTTATGAGAGTTTAAGGATATTTTTGCCTCTTAATTCATAGAAACACCTGAAGGGCAAACAGCTGCTCTCACATCTGCCTAAAAACGCACACATTTCATTACCATTGTATCTCATGAGGAAAAACACCATGTCTAAGGCAACTCTCTCTATTTCCTAACACTTGAGCATGACTTTTCAGTGGCCAACAGCACTTGTAAAGTCAGTCAGGCTTTCGTGCAGTGGTGATGAGTTACAGTCCAAGCTACTACACCATGCTTATTAAACTAGAGTGACATCTTTGGATCTTGGTTCTAGAATGTGTACCATGATTCACCATGGTTCTGGTACGCTGCAGCAACTCATCTTTACTTTTTCTGAGACACTGATTATAGCGTTAAACTTTCAAGTTAAAAGAATCATGTCAACTTAACACATCTGGCTTGGGTCTGTGGTGATAGTAGAACTTAATTTATTGATAGTGGTAATTAACAAGATGTTGGTTACAATAACACCAACATACACTTATTTTAAAACTTTATTTTAATTGCTGTAGTAGAAAATTACCTTGGAAAGAAAGTGTCAAATTTCAAAACTGAAGACAAAATGAAGTGGAAATCCTAGTGAGATGGCAGTGGCAGGTGCTACTTAAGGTGTCAACAAACTAACAATCCTAATTTGGGCAGCCAAGACAGCTGAGCAAGTACAGGCACACAGCATGCAAGCCTGGTATGGTACCCTGAACTCAATTTCTCGAACCCAGTAAACGGGGAAAGAGAGAACCAACCTCACAGATTTATTCCTTGTCCTACACACACACACACACACACACACACACACACACACACACACACACGATAATTTTTGAAAATTACTTAAAAGAATCCCAATTTTATAGATGTGGATGTTAAGCCTGAAGATAAACTAGGTATTTTATGAAAATAGATTGATTCATAAGAAAGTCCTCTTTAAATATGAAGATTTTATGGGTATACTATATGATGAATTTGGGCATACTATATGATGATAAAACTACAATTTATGAAATATTTACATTGGCTAGAATTGAAAAAGACGATAAAACACTCCATAATTTATTAAAATTTTTTATCGTTTAGGAGCTGGAGAGATGGCTCAGTGGTTAAGAGCACTGGCTGCTCTTCCAGAGAACCCAGGTTCAATTCCCAGTATCTACACATCAGCTTTCACAACTACCTGTAATTGTAGGTTTCAAGGGATCTGATGCCCTCTTCTGGCCTCCACAGGCACCAGGCATGCACGTGATACATAGACATACATTCAGGCAAAACACCAATACATACAATATTTTTGAAAGAAGATAAACTAAAAATACACAATGTGAAATGTCAACGATCTGAGACCTACCAAATTCAGATAAAGTACCTTAAGTTTCCTATGATGGATGCCTTTGTCATCCTTCTGCAGTACCAATTTTCTCAGCTCTTTGTTCTCCTTTTCCAAACGCTCCAAGATCCTCTGATACTTTAACTGCAACAAGACAATACACAGGACTGTGTAAGAAAAAGATGGGTTAACAAATAAATATTAAGTCTAATTAAAATCTCCCAAAGTTCTGAAGTTATATGACTTAACTAGTTACACTTAAAATTATTATTACATTTAGAAATATTCCATGACAATGTGAAGAAAATAAAATTATGATTATTTCAAGCAAGCAGTGAAATCCATAATTTCCATTATAATTTAGCATTTAACTTAAAAATTTATTTGCTTATGTTGAAGAAATAACTTAAAAATACTAAAAATTTAAGAACTTAAAGAAGTCTGGACTATACCTAATATTTCATACAATTTCAAAATTAAGTCCCCAATATAAGGCTATTTGGCCAAAATTAAATTATTCTCATTTGACATAATTAAGAAAGCTGGTATGATATAAAACATGAGTGAGTAACACCCATGCATGCATCGTGTGATGACCCTTTACAGAAAGCCCTGAGTAGAGGTTTTACAAACAGGAGGCTTAAGGTTAGCAACACTGCTAACTTGTCCTAAGGTCACCGAGGAAAGAGCATTTAAACAGGTCTGTTAAGTGAGAGGCTTAAACTCTTCCAGATTTGGTCAAATGTCCATGTTTGTTTGAGGAGTTTGTACTTAGAATACTGATATAAAAACAAATACTTAAGAAAATCAATTTATTTAGGGTTATTATTTCAAAGGAGCTAAATGGTAACATAACTTTGCTTTTCAGGGTGAGCTGTTCAAATTGGTCATCTTAGTTTATACAGGAAATTAAGAATCAAACTTCCCCCATAATCAGCAGAATGCGTAGATGTACAACTTATATCACATCAGGGAAAACATTTCTAAGACTTTTTAAGGTTTTAAACTCCTGAGAAAATGGTCAATAACAGGAAATAAGGTCCTATCCTTACAGAACATGCAAGTGAGGCCTAATTAGAGAAAACATCTCTAGTTAATTATATGGCACAACACAAAGAGAACTATTGGATTGTATGATAAACGTATTTAATAAAGCATATCCTCACAGCCTGTAAGGATATAGTAAGAGTCTAATATTTCTTGGCTGTTTAAAGTCACTCGTCACCCAGTTACTGAGCACTTGAAATAGTGTGCTATCTGCTATATGGACAACATGTTGAAATGATTTGGAACACATTGCATTAAGTAAAATACATTGTTAACATTAATTCCCATCTGTTACCCCTTTCAAATGGAAATTAAAAACTCCCCATGCAGCCTGTGTATTTCCTTTACCCAAGAATCACAGGTAAAGGGGCTGACTGCACAGCTCCGTATAGTACATGGTCCTCACACAGTGTAGCCACACTAAGTGGCTACAACTGGAACTGCCTAACTGTGGGGTACAGTTCATTGGCAGATTTCTTTGTACATATGAAATCAGTTTGGGGAATCAACATTTTCTTTCCTTGACACAAGTGTCAACCTGCAGCCACTCAGAAGCACAAATGAACAGGTGTGTCCTACCTGTGGCCAGTTGTGAATACATTATAAATGCTTTTGTGTGTGATTTCATTTTGTAACTTGATTGTGTGGTTCTTCAGTGTGAACCTTGTAGTCGGGTTGTGTTACAAAGTCAGGAGGTTGCGCATGCTTATGTAGAACCAAAAAATTCTCAAAATCTAGGTAGGGTGTATCATAATTACCTTAAGGACTTTAACAATGAAGACTGTATGTAGCTGGGTTTAAAGGGGAGTAGGCATTTAGGAGACTAAGGCAAGAGGATTTGAGTTCCAGGTCAGCTACCCGGTGAGATCCTCTCCCAAACCCAAACCATATAAACAAAAAAGAGCTGCAAAATGCTCCAAAGACCACTGAGTTCACTGACTCTGTGAACTCAAGCGAATCTGACCCATTGGGTTTAGGATGGGCTAAGAATCTGCACTTCTAATGAGCTCCCAGGGATACGGATGCCATGGCTCCAGGGACCACACTCTCAAAACAGTGTTCTTTCTTTCTTTTTTAAAGAATAATTTCCTGAGTACACTAAAAGGGAACAGTGGTCTGAGCAGTAAGCAGAGTAACAAGTCTTAACTCATGGCAGAGAAGCCTTGAGAAAGACAGGTGCCAAAGCACTGGTCAATTAATTACACAGGAGACTCCATGAACAGTTCAAGGAAAATCACATATCAGAAATCTATAGCTGCTTGATTTCAATTAGACTGCCCCTTCTTTTAATTTTTCCCTAGAAAGACCCAAGATGATAAATATGCCTTGTGGCTTATAAAAACAAGTCTTAACTACTAGATGTTATTAGTACAGAATAACCACTGTTGGCAAATCTACCAGCAAGGAAGGTTGGAATTCATTATATTGTACAGAACTGATTTTTAAATCATCATTTCTATCATTAGCCCTAAGAGAGAGGCTTATACCAGCAGAATTATCTTTAGGAAAAAATTTTAAATGATTTCAGGTTCCAGAGAAGCAAAGAAAGGCTTTTGGGGACTCAGCAGAGATATGTGAAACTCAAATCTCTTTATTTTATATTTAGCCAAGCAAAGTGAAAATACTTTTACCCATTCCCCTCCCACAATGATTTATCCTTAAAATAAGGATAAGAATCACTCAAAATAGGAATCTCTACATAATGAATTAACCTGGTATTCACTTGGTTTCTTCTTTATTCCCTGTTTCTCAATTAGTTTTGGTAGATACAAACATTATTGTCAGCGCTAAGGGTCTGTCACTAAGTATTCTGACTTTTGCTTTGCTGGAAAAAGAAGCTGCTGTCCATATCCTAAAGAAGTCCCTGGGGCTGAGGATGCTGCTCAGTGTCAGGACACATGCCCGCCATGTATGATGCCCTGGGCTCAGCAGCCCCCAGCAGCTCACAAGGAAGAGTGCTGGGTTCTCTTACTGACTAGAGTTACCTGAGTATGCAGAAGTTCCTCTTGAAGTTGGTCAATCTTCTCTTTGTCTGACACCTAAATATTTAAGATGGATTAATTTTAGCTGAGTGGGTTTAGAATATACAATAAGCTACAGTTTTAAAGAAGCACCAAGTATATGCATATTTAAAATAAAACTTAAAACAAGTGAATATTTAAGATAATAAAAATACTTGTACTCATCAATAAAATCAGTTCATCAAAATCTTATAAATAGAAACATCAAGGAGTCATTGTCTTGTCACCATTCTAGCCATTTGTTATGAAAGACTTGTTAGAAAAAGCAGACATGGACAGCGGGGTTTGCTCTATCAGGAGGTTGTTTTGTACTAAGGCACAGGAACCTAACATCCAGAGCACTGCATTTCTCCAGACACAAGCCCGGGGACTCCAGGTCCAAGTCACTGTCCCCAGCATTGCAAAAGCTCATGGCTACAGCAGATCTTCTAAAGAACAACTTTCCTTCCTCACTACCAGCAGAGATGTGCACACCCAACAGACACAGGGACTAACTGGCATCTTCAGAGTTAAGTGGAGCCAGAAGCTTGTTTTTAAGTTCAATTCCAATGCAACATCCACTAACTGTCAACGGGACAAATATATCTGTAGAAATGAAACCAAGTTAAGCAACTAAAGCTGATTTGAACATAAAAATAAAATTTACAGTATTGTGTAAACTACTTCAAATTGTTATCAATAGTTCTAAGACTTTTAAAAGTCTCCAGACTTCATTGTAGAATAGTTTAAAGTCGTCCCAATATAATTATAAACAACATACAATGAAAACAGTGTCACATATGACAGGTTCACGTACATGTGCACTGACTTCTTGAAAGGGCACAGAGTTGTCTTCCTCAGGTTTTACATGATATTTTTGTATTGAGGTAGACATTAATAAATCTTGTCTGTGTTACAGAATGCTATTTTTAGATTTTTAACTAATTCCAAATAACTTTTCCACATCTCCCCATGTTTTCAGAGGTGATAATACTTGCTAGGAATGACAGGTACATTTTTCTCCCTAATGTCTGTGCTTGAAAACCTCTTAACATTATTTTGTAATGAGATTGGTGACACAGATTTTATTTTTAGCCTTGAGTGGTGACAGAGACTTGCTGGTGTAATCTACCTTTCCATTTTGATTATGTGTGCTCAGGTAGACTGGACAAGAATTATTAAGTCTCTTAAAGTGTGAGGAGTTAGGCAAATCGAAGAGCCCACAACCCAAAGACCAAAGAAGAACCAGATCACTCCATATTAAGACCACATATTAAGATCATCATTCTATAATGTATGAGCATAGAAATTTATGATGCAGATTAAATTCCTGACTCATTTCAAAGGTACTGGGATGTACTTTCTTCCACTAAATATCCATCCAACTGTAGCAAATTTACAATAAGATATATAAGCACAAATACTTCCAACTGTTTTTGCTTTACTTTTTTCTTCTTGAGACAGGGTCTCTCTATGTAGACCAGGCTGGCCCTAAACTCAACAAAGATTGGCCTGCTTCTGCCTCCCAAGGGCTGGGGTTAAAGGTTTTTTTGCCACCATGATCTACTTTGTTTTTGTTTTAGTTATAAATGTAAATCAAGTGATTTCTTGCAATAAATATATCCTGAATTACTATAAAAAATTCAACATGACTCAGCATGTGGGAGGATAATTAAGAAACTAATATAACTAAATTAAAAAGTTAAAATGTTAATATAAGCCAAGGTCTATAAAAGGTTAACTTAGTAGCTGGGTTAAAAAAGACTACATAAGAAGTCAAAACAATCAATTAGAATATTATAAAATGGCATACTTCCTAGCTGCTTCATTTAATAAGGATCCAAATTAATGTTTTAAGGTAGGTAGTAAAAACTGAGGTCTTACTTTTTTTTCCTAAGATATAGGATAAAAAATTTTAGGTTTATAATACTAAGTATTAAAGATTGGTAAGAAGGCAATTTTTGCAGGTTTTCTTAAGAGACTAGCATGAGCTACTTCTACTCTGTCATTTACTGTAGTTGTTTTTTAAATACGTATGCATGTGGAGGTCAGAAGCTTAGCTTGGTGTCACCGTGAGGGACATTGTAACCTCCTTAGAGCCAGGGTCTCTCACTGCTCTAGAGCTCTCCAATTAGACTAGGCCGGCTAGCCAGGGAGCCCCAGGAGCCCTAGGTCTCCTTAGCACTGGGATTACAAGAGCGTGCCACCATACCTGTCATTTTCACATGGGTTCTGGGGATCCAACTCAGGTCCTCATGCTTGTGAGGCCTATACTTCCCCCTCCCTCTTTAGACAACTTAGTATGTTTTCCTCAGCTACTTGCAATATGAGACTCACATTTTGTGGTGTAACATATCTAGTTTTTATTATGAAATTAATTTTAAAGTCACCCTGGCAGGAATGAAACAACGGTCTCCCACACTCCCAAGGCTGTGAAACTGAGGGAGAAAGGGTGGGATCTTCAGCACAAATGAGCTCAAGTGAAGAGAACACTGTGTGCTCCTCCTGAGAACACTGTCTCAGAACTGATTTCCTTCTAGTAAGTCCTTGGGGGCTGTTCTGAAATAGTCAAATATGGATCTGAGAATCTCTGGAAAATTCTATCTGCACACATTCTTAGGAGGAAAACAACCAATACCTCTGGCCTCTGGTGATCTCTTTGCTCAGAAGATATAGCCAAAAATTTTACTTCTAACAAAATACTAAAAAACGAAGACCTAGGTTCTTCAAGAACAGAGAAATAAATATTTAAAGGAATTAAAAGTGCCTGTGGTTTACTTAGGCCTCCTGCTAACCTCAGATGTCTGGAATGATAGTTGCAGGAACACAGATTTGGCCATGATGGTGAAGAGCTGACGACATCTCTGTCCTAACCATAGTGGAACAGAGGAAGAAACCATGAAACCGGGCTTTCAGGACGGCACGAACGGGGCCACTATGGGTTGGCATCAAGCATTTTTAATGTGCCATTACCATCCCACAACTAACTACACAGTGGGCAGGACCAAGCCCTGGCTGGGGTCCCACTAAGTGTTCCTGTACAGACAAAGCAGACAGAAGTCCAGCTCTGTCACTCTAGTCACAAACCCCAAAGAGAGGAACAAAGGGGTTGAGTGAACAACCAGCCATTAGAACAGGAATGATATCCTGAAGTCTGAAGACTTGTAAAGCAGGCATATCTGCTATTGCAGAAGATCAACTGGTACACCCCCAGAAAGGTCAGGATTAGCAGCATGCTGGTGTAATGTTAAACTGCATCTTAGGTCTTGAGATGGCAGACAGAAGGGTCGCATTTCAATCCTATCATTTTGAAAAGAGACCAGATTGTGCTTGGCACTCGATTCATATTTCTAACATTCCAGAACATACAAACTCCTCCCACTCCTTTCTGTAACAAACCTAAGGGATGGACAGCTCAGTGACAGCATCTGGCTTCTTAGAGTATCTAAATGATATAGTCACAACACATGGAATTAGAGGATGGTTAAATAAGTCCTTCCTCAAGATATCTACTTTAACTACAATGATGAAATCACTTGTTTTCTTCTTCTACTTATTTTATCCATTCATTGAAAACTAAACAATATATATTTTGTTGTTGTTGTACAGTTGTTGGTTGTACAGCCATGGGATTGAGAAAAGCCAGGAAGTGACATTGAGTGAACTATGATGGACACTCTCAAGTATTAACCACCACCAAGATTAGCCAGTAGAAACATTGCATCGAGTGTGTATCTGTAATATCCCTTGATTTAGATGTAAGAGCAAACAAGAATCTAACTAGATATGACTGACTCTTTTCCTGGGTAAGGTTTGTACATAGCTTTAAAACTGATCTACACACTGAATTAGTTTAAGATCTGCATATAAATGTATAATCATTACACTTCCTTCATTGTACAGAACCCAGAGACTGACCCTGTGGGGCTTTGACCTCATAGTTAAAAGCATATTTTCAAGAACTTCATGACAGCTTCAAAACCCAAGTATCTGAGTGACTCAACTGGATCACATAAACAATAATCCAGTTTCATCCTAAATACAAATCCATGGATGCTCAGAGATAATCTAATCTTCCGAACTTAACTTCCTATACTTGAGCTTATGTTTTGGGCTTTGTCTATACTATCCACTTTAGGGGGTATGATGTATCTTTTGAATTGAATTTGTTAAAGGTAATTTCCCATGATGGAGCCCATCAACAGATTAAGGCAACATGATCTTGGCAGAAATGGCTGATTAGTGCGATGCATCAATAGCCCCCGTAACCAAGCATCACCTTGCGCTTCTGGTGGGCATAGCTCGTGCTATACTGGCCAGCGGCTCTGCGTGCTTCCTCTTCGTGCTCTTGAATTTGCTGTTGTAAGAGAATGAGCTCACCAAGCAGACCCTGCCATGAGTTTACAATGAGGAGAAGAGGAAAATTGGGGAGGAGAACAATGTTAAACCAAAGGGTACAACAGAAGAACAGATGCAAGACAGGGAGGGATGGAGAGCTTAAAACACAAATGGAAACTCACGCCCCACAGTGCCATCCCACAAATGGGCTCTGCACTGCACTTCCATCTCCCTCAGGAAAAATAAATAGCATGGTTTACAGAGTGAAGGTGAGTGTGCACAGACCGCTGACTTAACGGCCGGCCAGACAATGGCAACACAGGGGAACCAGACAATGGGCGTGCTCAAGGAAGGCAGCATGGCAGCTCCCTGGACTCCTTGGTAAACTCTTTATGAAACTGCCAATGTGTACTAACTAATGTATGCCGCTGACCTGAAACATCACATAACCAGTGTGACTGCATTTTCTCTTTTTATGAGCTGTTTGGACAGAAAACAGAATAGCTTCTGAGAAAGTAACTAAGTACACGCCAATTACAAAAAAAAAAAAAAAAACAACAACATAATTAAGATACAGAGACAACACAGTTATTATGAAAACTGACAAGTAAAAGCTAGCTGGACCATATTACCTTTTTTTTACCCCCTAACACTGATTCTACTCAATCATTAAAGGTTAAGCTGGTACATGGTGAGTATTTGTGTTCACACGTGGTACAATGGCACATACTAAAACACACGTGACCTTCTGCCTGCTGAGCTAAGGGGTCCCTTTATGTTGTAAACTGCTGGCCTATGAGCTAGCCAACTTTGAGGTAAGTGAAGAAAAAGACAACTGAGATTCAACAGTGATACTAGACTGATGTTTTCTCAGTCAGAAAAACTAAACGGTACGTTCCAACAACCAATTTGAACAGTGTAGTGTGTTCAAAAACAAGGGGCTCAGACTTACCAAGTCAAAACTAAAGGCAGCAAAGCTAGTAATCACTAAACTAGCCTAAACCAGGCCTTGAGCTTTAGATTTCAAAAAATAATTGTCAAAAATACTGGTTTGTAGTATTAGAAAGTCTCTTAAAATAAAAAGGCTGGTTGACAGTACATTCGAATTTTAGTTTGTAGAAAGCTTAATTTACCCTACATAGCCAAGAAATTAGGTAACCATAAAAAGAGTTCCTAAAAATGATACAGGCACAGGGGTAGGGGTGGGGCTGCATTACAGTGATATGTTTTAAGTTATAGAAAAATGGATAGAAATTTGGGGATTTTCGTTTCATTTTGTTTTGATACTAAGATTACTGTCAGTATGAGACAATGAATGAGACCGATTTACGGCAAATCACAGGACGAAAGCAGCTGACGAGAGAAATGTCAGCACTTGTTCCCGATTCAATAGTACCAAAGGACTCATCGATGACCCAGCTACTGATGCTCTCAAGACATATAATATATATGCGTGTGTATGTATGTATGTGTGTGTATATATATATATATATATATATATATATTTATATTTATGATCACTGACAAATTTATCAAAGTCACTGCCAGCTATCTTAATTTTTCCCATCATTTTTATCATTCCATACATCAAACAACAGAAAGTCATTTAGCAGGGTTGTGCACTAGCACATTTATCTTGATCATCATGTCTTCTAATCACCCAGTATTGGGATGACACAAACAAGTGCTCAAAGAAGGCTTCCTGTGTTAGCCTGCAAGTGAGTCCAACACAACACCCATGGGCCACATGCAGCACAAACTTACTTAAAACATTATATTTGGTTGACTTTTTTAAAGTCAATTGTGCAGTTTTCAAGTGTGAATTTTGTAAATGACAACTTGTCACGGTGTCACGTGACAAGTGTCATGGTGTCAAAAGGTTGGACATACCTGGTAGAATACCTGTTAATATTTACATACCACTGATACTGACTTATAAAATGCCAAGTAATTTTGACTTAGCTTAACTAGCGCACCGAGTCACTGCTTGTGTCTACCCACAGCTATAGAGTTAATTGGTAACGTCTATTAGACTACCCGAAACCACTCTTCCTAGGACACCTCACTTTCCTTCCAAGTCTGTTACTGAAGCACTGTTACTGAAGACTGGTGAAATTAACTGTTACCTCCTAAAAAAAAGTAGGAGAAAACAAGAATTAGACACAGGAAAAAACGGCTTACACTAAGCTATGCATCCTAAGCTCACTCCCCCAGCTCTGAGGACTAACTAACAGGCTGTGCAGCTGCCAGTCTCTGAGCATCACAACAGCCAAGAGACAGAGGGACCAGACACACAGATGTACAAAACACACCTTTGCCAGCAACACTCTCCTGACCGTGAACTCTTTTCTCTCAAGGAATCATCATTTAAAAAATATTATATGTAGATCACAGTGATGGCTACAAATCACAATGATTATGATTAACAATTACAGAAGATAACTTCTACAATTTACCTTCTGTAATTTATCAAAAAAAGAAAAGAACTCCCCTATTTTTTGAGACAGATCTTACCATGTAACTCTGGCTGGCTATGTAGCCCAGGCTGGCCTCGAACTCACAGAGACCCGCCTGCCTCCGCCTCCCGAGTGCTGGGATTAAGGGCAGGCGCCGCCAATACTCTTTAACACTATTTGGTCGTTGTTAACTTGACACTATAATCTTGTCTCATGTTTCAGGTACAACATTCACAATTGTAAAAAAATGACAGCATTAAATCAAGAAACTTGGTTATAGCTGGAGTTCTAAAATACCAACTGAAAACGCTAGCTTACAATTTAATGAGTTTGGTGGGAAAGATTTTTAATAAATTTGAACTATTATGCTAGGGTCTAAGTCCTAGCTCCCACAGATGCCTAGTGAAACCTAACCCTCATCGGGGTAGTAAGAGAACCAGGGCCTCAGCATGGTGATGAGGTCACAGGCCTCATGGTCTAGTGTTCTTGTAAGACAGACGCCAGGAGCTGCCTACCCCCGTCTGCCAGGTATACAGACAGTGCTCACCACACGTCACCCCTGCAGGCACCTCGTTCTTGTAGTTCAGCTCTAGGGCTGTGAGGAACACACTTCTGTTGTTTGTGGTCTTTCTTTTATAAAGCTTGAACCGGCTAAGATAATTACCTCACCTGCTATGTTACCCAGACGGGTCTCAAAGGCCTGGCTTCCAGCGAGCCTCCCATCTCAGCCTCCTGAGTGCCTGGGACCATAGCTATGCTCCACTCTGTTTATTAATACCTAGCATCTTAACTAAGGCCTGGCGTATCTGAGATGTGTTATCACCCAGGTAGGGCAGGGGTTGGCACATGTTGCTTGAGTGAGTAAAAAACAGCTGATTTTTACCTATCAATCACCTGTAGTTTCTAGTTAAAGATAATTTAAAAACTCTTTAGAAGCTACCAGGTCAGTCCTACAAATCATTTTCCCACTTTCCACGATCTCCAGAAGACTTCATAACAAAGCAAGGAGAAGAAATTAATCAAATGCTAATGTCCCATTAACAACTAACAACTCACAGCTTTATTTATCTACTTTTACTCCTCGCACTCTTTCAAGGGGATCTCCTTTTCCAACAGAGGAAATAAGGAACTCAGAGAAGCTAACCGATTTGTAGAAGGTTACAGTTTAGAACAGGAAAAACAGGACCTGTGATTCCAAAGCCTGCATCAGTACCCCCCAGTAATAGTGCACAGCTATTTTCAAAGTGCCTTTTACCCATTACAATCAACCTGCTTTTCCAAGAGCACAATGGCAGGCATATCCAGATTACTGTAGAGCAGAGTTGGCGGCCTACAGTGGGCAGGCTGAGTAGCTGAGAGACATTATGGTCTGCAAACCTAAGTAAACTATTTCACATAGGGACCCAAAACATAACATTTGCCATACTACGTTTTTGTTTATTAAAAACCTTGAGGCAATATTCCTAAGCACTACTTTCCAAACTTTGAATAATTCTGCTATTTGTTTAGCTAAAAACAACTGGTTTCCTAATAAATAACTGCTCCAGATATTTATGAATGCAAATTTGTTACTGGTTGTCAAAATGAAATGTTAATTAATTTGCTTCAATCAGAAACAGCATACTATATATTTTACTACTTGGACATTTTCTATAAATTGTTTTAAGAGATAAAACAGCTACCAGTACTTACCAATATTACAATTTACATTAAATCTTTCTGTTTCTAAGTGGCTACTTACAACAGTATAGTTTATTGATACATGTTCATAGTATCTCTTAAATGCCATAAACATGCAGCGTGCTTATTAGGCAATGAAGTAAGGCTGTCTGCTTCATTCCATTTTCCTTATGGGCATTTCCCTACTTGTGATCACTCAGTTTCTGATCTACTAACTATACACATGCTGTGGCTTCTTGCCAAGAACTATCTCATCTATTCTTGCAGCTATTAGCTGCGCAGGAAACACAAATTCTTCAAACCTGTGGCTACTTTATGGTGCTGGCTTACAAATCTTGAGTCCACTCATTCACTAAAACAGGCTCACTTCTCCAGTCCCTAATTTGGCTTCTGGAAGTTTTAAGTTCTCCAGATTGCAAGGATTTTACCAAGTTCACATGAATATTTCCTCCAGTGAATAAAAATGTAAAACTTTTTTTCTAAATTTTAAACTTTTGATTAACATGACCATTTATTATAAAGTAGTATTACTATATGCCAATCATACCTCAATAAAGTAGTTCAAGCTGAAAGTGAATTTGCTACCCTTTTCAATGTTTATTAACGAAGACACATATCAGACCTTTTGATCAACACAGCGTAAACCGTGTCCACAGTCTAAACAGAAGTTCAGGTAGAAGCAGATGATTGCTCAGGCTGAGCAGCCACATGGCTTCTGTGCTTTCTAAAGATCTCCACTGTAATTCCCCAGACACAGACAAGTCTAGTGAGCTCAGGACAGGAAGCACAAGCCATCAGCTCATGGTGTTGCTCATTCTCAGGCCACATTACGCCATACCTGCGTTCCCTAACTCCCTTTACTTTCAGCTGGCTGAGTGGTCCTAACTGTTCCTCTCCTGCCAAGACTTTTCCATTCTGTCCTATCAAAGGACAGGTCTTCATTTCCATTCTAGCTGTAGAAATGTATTCCACTTACTACTTTTGTTGTTGTTGTTTTGAGACAGGGTTTCTCTGTGTAGTTTTGGTGCCTGTCCTGGATCTTGCTCTGTAGACCAGGTTGGTCTTGAACTCAAAGAGATCCAACTGGCTCTGCCTCCTGAGTGCTGGGATTAAAGGCATGTACCACAGCCACCCGGCCAATAAGCTATTTTCTAACCCTACTGCTCAATGCACAAACCATCAAGAGTGTTCCTTAATTAAAATTATGTGTATTAAAAACAGGTCAAAATGAAAGCAAATACATATTATATAATATGTTTTACCTAAAAGGTGAAGGAAAATAAATCTTGAAAAAAATATTTAAATTTGGAATAGCATAAAAAAAGGTCCAAGTTGAAAGAAATGGAAATACAGAAATTATTTCTTCTTTCCGCTCAATAATCATAAAATTATTTCTTTCCCATGCTTTAAAATTCACTATAAACTACATAATGCATATTTAACTTAAAATGTTTATTTATAGAATATTTTGGTTATAAATTTATTTATCGAGGCATTATTTTTATAAAACTTTATATGTAATTACTTCTTTTTCCAGTTCAAAAAGATGAAAGTAAAACCTAAGAATAAGATAGCAGGGCATATGATTAGAAACACAGAGTAACTCCTGTTAACACCTGTTCTGTACCATTCACATGGATTTGTCGGAGAATGTACTAAAACTGATACACTCTAACTGGACTCATCCATACACAACCATGTAGGTTCTCAATGTATAAGAACTGACTTCTTTGCTAATAACTCACTTTCTATTCTCTCATATCTTTTCTCTAAGCTAACGTAAATCTCCAGAAGAGGAAGTAGGTTCTGTACATAAATCTGGTATGCCCTGAACATTCTTAGGCCTTTTGGAGATCTGTGAACATGTATGAATGAATATATGTTGGTCTGTGAAGTCCCAAGAAAGAGAAGACTGCTTAAACGTCTACACCATCCTTTCCCACATGAAAAACCTGGGGTGGTTATTTCTCAGAGCATAACCAGAGGGGAGGGGCACCCCTGATTCTATTCCAGAGCTGCTGCAGCCGCACCTGCAGTTTTCACTTAGTAAGCAGACAGTTTTGTATTTTCTAGTAATGGATTAGCATTTCAAATCTTTGAAAGAGAAAGGAAAAGTTAAGCTTTTCAGGCCTCCATACTTACCTTCCTATAATGCTTGTCACTTTCGGATCCATGATCTGTTGCTCGAAATGCTGTTTCTCCAGGTGACCCTTAAAGATAAACACACAGTTCTTTAAATTCCCCAGTGATGTCAACAGCTCAAGCTAAATTCCAAATGACATCTAAGCAATTCAAGTCAGTGGGGTGGGGAGACAGGACACAGTGGCAGAGTGCTTGCCTAGTATGTATTGGATTCCCAGCTTTGTGAAATGCAACCCAATCAAAACAAACCCAGACAGGCCAGGTGTGTGCCCGCAGCCCCAGCACCGATGCTCAGGAGATGGAGCCTGGGCTCCACAGCGAGCATGGCTCAAAGGAAACCAAACGAGGTTCGAAGAATATGTTTGTATTTCTAAGAAAATGACTGGCAATCAATGACAAAAATTTTCAAAATCAATCCGTTTTTAAAATATAAATGAAAATTACAATAAAAATGAGACAATCTTTGGTAAAGACTTTTTTCTTTAAAAAACAAGGGAGTACTTACAATTTAGCCAAGTACCACTGCCATCAGACAACGTACATAACACAAAGCAAATTTAAATGTCACTGACAGGGCAGATGAGACAAGCTAAAATTACTTTTCATTTCAATTATCAAAAATAATTTTTTTCAAGAAAACACTTTGGCTAAGCAAATTTTCTTTTAATAATTTTAAGTCATGTATTTAGCAATTTCAGTTTTGTCATAAATGTAATTCTTTTATTATTTCCACCAAAAGGATATAAGTTTGCCTAATATAGTTCTGGGTTTGAAGATCAGCATATATAAGCAGGATTATAAATTTGGTCTGCAATTTTACTCGTGACTAGTTTATTAGAAGCATGTAAAAGGCATGTTAAGGTCAGCAAAAATGTCTGGTTACACACCTAACAAGAGAAGTGGGCCAGAAGCTTCTATGACTTCACTAACCAATTTGTGACCTGTGAAAAATCAGCAAAAGGGGAAATAAAATTTAATAAGAATAAGCAAAGATGTCTGAGATCTCAGACTTATATCATATTAGGGCAACACTTGGGCAACTACGCCAGGGTAAACCTCATAAATTGTATCTTATATGGCCTATGATAATTAGGTTTTGTTTTAAAGCAACAATAGTGGCTCCAAGCGGTCATGAAAAGCAAATGCATAGGTAGTCTCATCTACTTGTCAAGAAGCAGTATTTTTTATTCACCGACTAAAAGCTAAGCACACATTTTCTTACAAATTTTCGTTTGATTAGGCTAATGATTAAAAGTATTGTGCAAACTTTGTGTTTATCTCGTGTTAAAATGCTTTTGGGTTTACAATGTTTTAATTTAAAAGATGAGAACAAATATGACCATCCATGCCTTTTCCCTGAGGTTCCTAAGTCTTGAAGTTAGGTGAAAAGTCCCTCCTTACCTGTGGTGAAGAAATCCTTCAGTAAGCTGAAGCTTTCAGCAAGCTTGTCCAGGTCAGGAGCTAACTTAGCAAGGTCTTCCGAACTGGGAAGGGCTTTTCTAATTTTCTCTGGAGAAGAGCAAAACAGGAGTCACAAACAGTCTCAAAGTAGGACAGAGCAAACAAATGAGGATTAAAAGTGTGTCAACCTGTTTACACCTCAAGCCAGTCCTACAAAACACTTCCTATTGTCAACTCTACTTACAGATGAAAATCTAGAGCACACAGCCAGGAAGTGAGGGGGCCAGGCAGGGTTCAAGACCCGGCAGACCAGTTTAGAATCTAGTTCCTCAGTCACTACACCGAGATACCGGCAAATACATTCTGTTGCACAGTACTAACATGAATTCTTTTTTAAAAAACGGAATTGTCCCTTTCCTAAAAATACCTTTGTTAACATGGTTACCTTTAAGAAGCACCATGATAAAGCACTTATGCAGATGAATTCCACCTCCGTATGTCTTAAAAAGGGACTGAAGGAAATACTCCAAACTTTTTAAGCTCACCTTGAGTTACTTGTGATCAGCTATTGAACTTGACTCTAGTCTCACCTACCTGTTAAGGGAGGGGCAAGATTTCTAGGGCTGAAGCTACTTTGCATACTAACAGACTTTTAAGGAACTCGGTTGCAGAAAGTACAAATAACCAAGGCAGTCAACCCAAGAGAGGGGTTTTTGGTTAGGGTCCGAGTATGTATGATGCAGACAATATTGCATAATACTGAAAATGGTGTTTAGAAAGGCCGCTGGTAACATGGACATGCAGAGGATGTGCTAGGCAGCAAAATACAAAACACCAAGGTACATATCCCCATGACGGTACAATTTCTAAATAAGAAATCAAAATGTTAGCCACCGCCAACTAACAAGCAAAACCCGAAGAAAATATTCCATAGGAGTGGTGGCAGCCATGTTAAAATGACAGACCGTTGGATACTTCAGTCTCACACTTTTTTTCCTCTGGGTTGGCAAAACGGCTCAGTGGGTCCAAGTGCTCATTCCCAGGCCTGTCAACCTGGGGTTGTCCCTGTACCTACAGGATCCCTTTTAATTACAAAAAACCCCAAATTGTCTTCTGACCTTTACATGCAGGCCCTGGCATGCACATGTGTTTCTGTATGTGTGTACACACAAGTGTAATGCACACTCACACACATAAATAAATGTAATCAAAATTAATTTCTTTTACAGATTATTACTTTCATTATTTAAACTATCACATATTTGACTCAAAAGTTAAAACTATCAATACAACTACTTCTGTCCCACCCACCCCCCAATCCAAAAGCTATTTTTAATGTTGATGATACAAACCCAAATCAATATACTCATCAATTTCCCATATAAAGTCAGGCACAATCCACTTATAGTCACTAAGGTCTGGTATCATATCTTTCCATTCATCGAAGGTCTAAAAGACAAGAACATATGTCAATCAGATATTCTAAATGCCAATATAAAGAGAAAGCATGTTGATTAAAACAATCTACTGGAAAATGTATCACTTGCAGAACCTTTAGGGCACGAATTTATGTGAGCCCAGGTCTTTTAAGAACAAATCTGTAGGTGAGTATGAAAGTAAGTACTCTTCTATCAAATGTGGGAAATGTAAAAACCCACAACGTTCCTACTTCAAACAGGGCTCATGTTGGCATTAAGTAACACCATGAAGCAAGGAAGATGGATGGGGAGAGGTCACCTTGCCTCTGGACCCAGGGCTCTCAGAAATAGTCCCGTGAACATGCCACTGACTTCCTCTCCTGTGCTACTAAGTGGCCATGTCCAGAACCAAACTAAAGTGTTCTTACTCCCAGACCAGGGCTCCATCTTCCAGATCATCGATAATTATAGTTAATATTTAAATGGGACCATTGAAACAACACAGGACGTTGCAAATATGTACAGTTAATGTTTCAACAGCTAATCATATTTTACTCACTAAAGAAAAATGACAATTTCTTCCTACCATGCTATACACATTTACGGTATTTGAATAATTAGACCTGTAGTAAGAAAGTCGACTCACTTTTTTGGCTGTATAGCCACCTCCAACAGCAGATCCCAGGATGATATATCGAAGTTTTAAGAGCCTTGCAGCTAACCTTGCTGGCCAAAAGTTCCTGCGGGGCTGGTAGCCATATTTAATCGGAGATAGTTTTAATTTATATAAAGAAAGGTTAGTCAGAGAAGAGAACTGCTGAAATGATGTCCTTAATTGGGGTCTTTGAAGCTTTAGGGTGGGATGATGTGAACAATAAATACTTCGTGAAACCAGATGTAGTTTTTGGAGTGGGAAGTTTCTTTGTATGCCAGAGCTGTGTTTCACTAGTGATTGGCAGACTTCACTGAAAAAACAAAAAGAATGGGAAAACATCAGAGAAGGTAACAATGCCTAGGAACCGACAGAGAAGAACACACATGCATACTGACCCTCCATGCCCCATCACATGATAGTTTACACTTGCTGTGTGCCAGCTCATTCAATCCTGTTGAAAACCCTACCATGAAAATAATTACACTAGCCCATTCTACAGACAAGGGAAAATGTGGGACAAAGAAATAAACAAACTGCCCAAGAAGACATTGATGGAGGAATAAAGGTGGAATGTAAGTCCAGGCACAGGGACTCCTGACTCTACATGTTAATTTACTATATGTGGGCTGTGATATTACTCGTCCAAGGAATTGAAACCAAAGAAGGAAGAGGTGGGTACTAGTTTCCCAACAGCTGTGCACTGTAACAGCTGGTAACAAAAGGGCATGCAAAATTCTACTTTTAAGGACAAAAATTCTAGCAGTCAAGAATATCTGCTTGTTCTGTCTCCCAATCCTAAATTAGTGCAGAAATGGAAATTAAGTTAATCTTGGTTCCTTAGGAAAATGCAAGTAGCAGAACAGCCCTCAAGAGACGAGATCTCACTGCACAGGCTAAGGGCCCAGGCTCCACCCTACCCTCCTTCCTGCACAGAAGAGAGCATTCGCACAAGAAGCCTACATGCCCTATCTTTTTCAACCACATCTGGTTCCATCCTGTGGGTGAGGTGCAATGCTAAGTAGGGTTAGAATGTCCATTTGTCTAGTTACACGAGGCTCAGAACTTCTCATACAAAAGGTATCACAGGCTGTAGCTCAATTCCAGTTATATCAGAGATATTATGTTAGACGCTTTCACAAACCCAAGATGGGAATGAGGGAGACCAGCTCCCTCTTTTTCCCCCAGGGTACTCCTGAGCAGGGAGAAATGAGGAATTTGTAGATAGAAGGATAGAGATAGATAGATAGAGAGAGGAAGGGAGGGAGGGAGGGAAGGAGGGAGGGAGGAAGGAAGGAAGGAAGGAGGGAAGAAAGAAAGAAAGAAAGAA